ACCATAAGGACTTAGTGGCCCACCAAGGCAATGTGCCTTTACACTTGGAAAAAAAAGCTTTCCCTGGGAGCCGAAATTTACTTGGTGCAATTTAAGCCCATTATTTTTGTCCTCTTCAAAACAGATAAGAAGAACAGTTTATTTCCCTCTTTTTTCATAGCAACTTTTGACATAATAGAAAGCTGTTGTCATGTCACCCCTTAGCCCTCAGTTCTCTAGGCTAAACAAACCTAGTTCTTTCTGGACTCTCCCAAGCATCATGTTTGCCAGAATTCTGATTATTCAAGAAGTGTTTGGTGAAATTTCCACTGGCTTTGGGAACTGAGTTACATCTGCATTGTAAAAACCTTTTATTTTCAAAGCATCTAGACTTAAACCAGCCATTTTTACATAAATGCCTCGTAATCCATGTTCATGTCTAAATGTGTTTGCTGAAAAGTAACAGTGTTACATCTTAGCCATGACCTTGTGTATCCACACTGGTGGGAGCACTCAGCCTTTGACTTGTGTGCTTTAGAAATGTGCACGGGACAGATGGATATCTGGAATACACACGTGGCATAACATCTGCTGGTGAATAAAGATTGTTATAAAGACAGAAAATAAAGCTGGGAATGTGTTTACAAGTACTCAACCAGTGCTGCATATCTGGTAGTGCTCAGAGTTACTTGAAAACAAGGCCAAAAACAATTACAAAAAAAAGAAGTGTCCCTATTCTCCTTGAGCAGTTAAGAGAATTTAAATGTTTCTGCCATCTCTGCTAGGATATGCAGAGCTGAATGAGGAAAGAGAATGAAATAAGATCACTCATCTAGAAGACAAAACATTGATGACAGTGGTAGAACTTCTCTTCAGGTTATTTTGCCATTCCTTTCATTGCTCTGCAGTATTGAGGTATTCATCTAAGCCAGCCACTGTACAGTGCCTTTTTGAGTAGTAAATAAGAGCTTTTAGAGTTCAAATCACCTAGTCATATTTAGATATCTATTTCTGGATGAAATGAATTGCTACTGAACCACTTTTGTCCGCCCCATTAAATTTAACTGAGTCTAGGTGACTAATTCAAATGAGTAGACCCTGCTTAAGTTGCCAGCCATGTCCCTTAATGGGATTTTCTTTAGATCCTCTAGGTTCTAGGGCAGAAAGTCCATGTTGTGGCCTCTTTAAAAGAAAGCACTGAGAAGATGACAATCAGGCACTGGGAATTGAGTTGTGTGGCTCCAGCGGTCAGCAGGTGGAAGTTCTGACACTGGCATGACTCCAAGGGGAAGTCTCCCGTGGGTGAAACATAGTTCCAGACAGGGGAATTGTACTATCTCTTCCCAAAGAGAAAGGGAGCAAGAGTAGAGGCAAAGATGAATAAGAGAGACCTTCAAAGACTATTCAGAGGAGGATAGCAAAATAAAGAAGGACTTAAGAAATGGCATCAGTGGAGACAGCAGGAGAGAAGCCAGATGTTTAGGAAAGACCACTGGGAAGACAATCAGCAAACTGCCCCTATTTTACCAAGTTCCTCAGGCAGACAAGTCATAAAGAGGAGTATGCAGGAATAAAGATAGGAATTTCCTCTGAACTTCTACTGACTTCTGAGTATTAGCAGAAGATCTGATTCTTTAGACTTCAGGAATATTGAGGAAGAACTGGAATGAGATTGCAAATGAGGTATGCACACAGTGCTCTTTGTTCTTGTTGGGGAGGAATGGAAGACTCTTGAGTTTGTACTTAAGTGACGGCAAAGTGTGTGAGAAGAGATGGGATCTCTGTGCTAGAGATGGAGGATTAATTGATTCAAGTTCAGCTGAAAGTTTGGAAATTACCTGGTAGCAAGAAGAAATTGAAATTATGCTACAGAAGGGGCCACAGCCTACAATAATACCTTTATCTTAAAGCCTGAATTCCATAAATCATCCTCCCTCAGGAGCAACCTTGGACAGCAGTGGTTGATGGGAGCTGGCTCTAAGGTATGACTCTTTCCATGATACTTTTTTCCCCCTCCTGTTCCTGTGGTGCTGATTACCTGTATCTTTAGCCAGTTGCATTGCACTTTTTCTGAGCTCAAATACAGGGTCAGATGGTATGAACTGAAGTCGGAGCCCTGCCCATTCCTTCTTGCTGATATTCTCTGGAGATACAGCAAGTTCAAAAACAATTGTACATCTAGGTAGGTAATTCTGACTCAAAACAAGTGTTCTCTAACTCCTACCAACTACAGCTGATAACTTTTTTACCTACAAAAAGGGAGTGGGTCCCAATTATCTACATCATTTTTTGGTAAGTACTAAAGTACAGCTTTATAAAAATCTTACGTGTGACTCTCAAGAAAAATTTGTTTCAGCTCTGGCTTGTCATTCTGTTTTGATTGGTAAGGGTATGATACAGAACTTTTTCTGTTTTGGATTGCTACCTTTCTCAACCTAATAATTGGGTAATAATGTCTGATCTTAGCTAAGTATGAAATCAAAGTACAGATTAACAGATTCATCAAGGATAATCTCAATCCAGGAAATCTTCACAGAGTAGGAGTGTGTGGTGGATACCAAAACATGCTTCGAGCTACAGCAGCAGTTAAGTAATAGTCTGTGTCATGTTAGGATTGACTTACAGTGGGACTTTCCTGTCTGACTCAAACCCTGGGCAGAGATCAGTATCCAGAGCCACCCAGTACCTAACCCTGTCCTTGGCTCAGGAAATCTCTGAGTATTCTGTACAAAATGGACAAGTGAGACTGGCAACGATCTGTCTAAAAATAAGCGAAGGTCAGTGGTGATGTCATCGTCACCGAGATCATCGAGGTTACAATCCCTGCTCCAGTCAAAGACAGGATTTGAGCAGGGCTTTTCCACATTGCAGAGATGTATTCCAGTCAAACAAACCGAGGCAAAGAGAAACGAGGACTAATTCCTACTCTTCCTGGCAGAACAAGGAGTGTGGAACATTCTTGAAAAGAAGCAGGGTATGCCTATATCCCAGCATGTTTTCAGGAATATTTCCTGCTTCAGTGTGCCTAAGAGCCTACTGCCAGCATCTGAAAGGTTCAGGTTTTAGGTTGAGTCTTATTTTAGTTGCCTCTTAAATCTGAGCTGACACCTGTTAGCTGGAAGTCCTTTGTTGTCCAGACTTTTGTGACCAACGTTGGCCTGTTGATACTTATGGTGTAGCTTGACAGATGTAGTCTGAGCTCAACAAGTCCCTGCCTTTCCCTGGCTCTGCCTTATTACTGATCCCTCAGTACAGCTGGGAGTGATGCTGAACTTCCTCAGGACCAAGTGAGACGGCCTGTTCTGTCCTGGGTCAGAAGGGTGATCAAAGTGTGCCCAGGTATCAGCACATTTAGGTAACCGAGGAATGGATAGGGGCTGGAGATGAGAACGGAGCTGGTGGAAAGGGTGGAGGGAGTGGCAGGTCTATAAACTCTCCTTGTCACTCATGTCGAAATGGCATGGATGTCCAAATTTCACAAAACCACACTTTTAAGTGCAGGGTGTTTTTATGTTGCTATGGGCAGTGAAAAAATTGGTGTAGATTAAGGGGCTTTTACTTCATGGTTTCATTTTCATACTTCCTTTCTTGACTCTTCTGGTGTGCATGTCTTTCCACAAATTTTCCTTTCCTTCACCTCCTATTACAAATATTTCCAAACTAATTAAATCACTACACTTCTATTCTTATATTTTAGTGATGCGAGGCAGAGCTGATTAAAGGATAGGTAGGCAAGGACAGCACAAAATTTCTGCATGTATCTATCCTGCAATCTCCTCTGCAGCAAGTTTCCCTTCAGATGTTTTACACAGTTCACTGGTGCACATGGAAAATTATGTTGCTGTAGTTAATAACCTTATTTTTTTCTATTAAATTTATAACCCCTACCGGGAATTAAATGTGAATAAGTCACTTGATGTTTTTGCTCTGATTATAAAATCCATATGTTTCCTGAGGTCTCCAAGTCTTGCCATTTAATCTGACTATAGTGATAATCGTTTTTGGGTAAAACGGCTACCTGGTGAATAACCAAGAAATTTATTACTGCCTAAAATTATAGAGGACGTACTTGTTTTGGTTGAAAGCTTTGCATTTTCTGAGATAAAAGAGACATGCCAGCATGCTTGCACTCAGTATTTTTCACACAATCCATTTGTGTATTTTTTTTCCCAACAAATTCTGACATTGTTGTTTACCTTTAACACATCTGATTTAAGTGATATTTGAAGGCATTACGTTCAGGTGTTTTGTAGAAATGACTGGAAAAACCAAGGGTCTTTCAGTATTGCTTCCTAAGCATCAGCAGCTTTCCAATGCTGACTGTGATACCTATCCTTGTTTACTGGTGCATTCTTCTTTCATGTAATCAGTGGTGCAAAGTCCAGTTGGAGGCCAGTCCTCAGTGGTATATTCCAGGGGTCAGTGCTGTGTGCAATACTGTTAAATGTCTTCATAATGACCTGGATTCACGGGGCAGAAGCTCTATCTGTACTCAAAGCTGACTCTATTAATGCATTTTTCCTTGTTCCAGCAAACCTACTTGTGTTACTTACAAACTTACTTACTTGTGCTTCCAGATGCTTGCTGTTTTATTTTCCAAGTTTAATCCTATTTAGGAGTCAATTATTTCGATGTCCTTCTTGCTCTACTTAATTTGCAAAATGATTTCATGAGACCATTAAAAATTGTGCAATATAAAAATTAAGAGTTTTCACATCCAAGACTTTGCCTAATGTATCCCATGCTACTGAGTTCAGCAGGATATTCTTATAATCTGCAGACAAAACAGAAGCTGGGGTTAGCTGTGCTTGCAAAAGATGAGCTTGGATCTCTCAAACACAACGGAGCATCTTGGTTAAAGGTCAAGGTAGCTTCAGGATGTTACTGTATGTATGTTTGTTAACCAGGGTACAGCTCTGAGTAAACAGCTTATTCTTTAAGCTCCTGTTCTCGTGTATTTCCAAGAGAAGAGTCATGTGAGGGCACTGGGGTTGGTGGACCAAACGCTCAGTTAATTCTGGTGGAGCATCCTCATGCCATCTTGTGTGCAATTTTTAAACTGCATCTCTGTTGTTGCTTTCGTGCACGGCTCCAAAGTGACTGGTGAGTGCAACTACTAATCCCAACTAATTCTTTTTACCTTCTGTTGTTAATTGATTACTCTAATGCAGGGAAAGTCTCTTAAATCTAAAGCCCTGCTAAATGTTTGTATAATTTAAACAGTGATGCTTTCCCTTCCTCCCTTCCTTTCCTAGTCTGGTTAATTTAGAACAATTTTAGAACAAAATCCTCTCTAGCTGATTTTCCTTCGAACTTGACTCGTTTTGGAGCTGGTTGATTAACCAGATAAGCTCTATAGGCACTTTGTCTCAGCCTGCTTCTGCTGGAGAGAGGTGCCTTTGGGTTGCATGGTGAGGAAAGCCTGTCACTACTTGGCTTTGGCAGGACTCTTATCAGCTACTGATGAAGGCGGTGTGCATTGCAGATCCTTGTCAAATCTGTTCTTAAAAATATTTTTCATAATTTCTATCTCTTCTTAAGCTACCCATACTTGCCTGAAATCCTTTTCATGTTGTACATACCCTTGACTTGTCTTGAATCTTGTCCACCTCTTGGCAAGTTTTTCTTTAGATGTCTTGTAGCTATTTTTCATCACTCTGTTTCATGATTTAGCCAGTCAAGGCAAAAATATTTCCTCTGCTACCTCAAGCAGAGGCTGCTTTCATCTGTCATTTTCATAGTATTTGAGCACTCATTGAATTATTCTCCTTATTTACCACTAGTAGCATCATTGTGTGTGAGTGGTGCTTATGGAATGTTTTGATCAATGTTAATTAGTAAAGATTCCCTGAGTGAAGGACCAGGGCTATGTTATTCTTCTAAAAAAAGTGGGAATTTGGAGTTATCAAAGTGACAGTTCCTGTAGTTTCTTCTTGCCCCAGCTGAGTAGATGGGAGAGCAGGGGAAAAGGGAATTCACTCTAGTGAAAATAGGAAAAGAAAGGATGGTAAAGTAAATCCCTTTGGCAGAATGTATTCCCTCCACTGCACTCCTCCAGTTCATCTGCTCTTTTGTCCTGTGTATTAGCAGGCACAGAGTTTTAGAGGCAAAGTCAGCCACTTTTGTTTCTGAAATTAATCTAATTCATATTGAGACCTATTATCCCTACTGACATCTGCTGAGCTGAGTGTTCAACACCTTTAACTAGGTTTTATATTAATATAAGTCAAATGGAGGAAGGTATCACAAACTTTCAGTTCAGGAAATTTTTTTTTTTCCTTTATGTCTTACAGTTAGAAAGAGACCAAGTTATCGTGCCAAGATCTGGCATCTACCCTTTATCAAGAAGGCTGTTTCTGCTAAAGGCCTCTGTCAGGAACTGGCTGCCATAGGGAAGTTTCCCTCGGTAAACATCTCAAAGTAGGGTGGTGGTGGCAGTTGTTGTTTGGCAATGTTAAACCAAGGAAACCAGATAGCAAATATCACGCTGGCTGAACGCTCCCACCAACTGAAAAAGAGAGGAAGGAAAGTGCACGAAGGAGGAAAGAGGGTGTTTGTAACACCCAGTTTAGCAGAAACACAGCAGTGCATTCTCCCTTCAGTCTGTAATGCTGTGAGTCAGCCGTGCTCTCACGCTCACTGTGAATGGAGTTTTAAATAAAGTGATTGCCTCACAAATCAGCGAGACTCCCAGGGCAGAATCCAGAGCAACTCTTTAAAAATGTATTTCAAAGTGATCAAAGATGCATGTGTCTTACATTGTTCACCAGGGAGGAGTCTTTCAATAGCAACCAGAGTTAATGCAGTCATGAACTTGAGCACCTTTCAGCAACTGTCTCACATTTTGCTGAGATTATCTTCCCATGGAACCTCTTTCAGAGCAATTCCTTAACCAAGCTCAGTAGCTGGAGAGCAGCCATTACATCTTCATCCTTCATCTGGTAAAGCAGCAGAACATTTACCAGTGTATACACAGCTGAGAAATGCAATTTGACTGGTACATTAAAGGTATTTGGTGATCTTTAATCTTAGCATAACTGCTGCCCATCAGGGGTGCAGTAATGTGCTTCACAAAGCACACAAGAGAAGACAAGGCCCTTAATGAGTTTTGGCTGAGCTGGGCACGTTCTGCACAGTGTTGTTCAAATTGTCTCAGGCTTCCTGCCAAGTAATGCAGAAGAAAATGCCTTAGAGTATGCTAGCTGTCTATCAACCTCGCAGAAAGTTTTCTCAAAGACAGTCTTTGATTTGTGAGTCAACCACTATTAAGTTAGTGTCAAAACCCTCTCTGGAGGCAACAAAATGGAGCACAGTTCTGCTGTTACTTCTAGCATCAAAATATTCATCTTGAACTTAAGGCTCTAGGTTATTTTTGACTGTGCTCTGTCTCTGGAAGCCAGAAAGGGCTTGTGGGGTGAGTTACATGGCTTAGTTTCTGAAATTATGGGAATAGAAGCTGGGGAATGAGCATGGGGAAAGGTTGTGACCGTCTTGTAACTAACCTTATTTAAGGAAATACGAGGGGCTCTGTCTTTGTGAGGCAACCCTGACACTGTAGGCTTCTAACTTGACTCCCTTGCACATAGTGGCACGTTCCTCTAGTGAGAATGGCAAGTTTGCAGACAAGTGCCACGAGCCCCCTCTGGTTCCACTAGTCTGTGTGATACACATGGCAGGTAGGACTGGCTGGAGTGGCTGGGGATGGCATTTTGGCTCTCTATGGGGCCCAGGGACTCTGCATTGTGCCTTTGAGAAAGGGATACTGATATTTAGGGAAAGTGCCAGGGAATCATGGCAAGAGCTGCCCAACACAGCCCCCACATAGGGGCTGAGTAGCCATGACAACTGTAGTTATCAAACATTAGCATGGGACAGCATTCAAAAACCATATTGCAGGCTTTAAATAACCTATCAAGCTGCAGGCTGGCAACTGTGGAGCTAGTACATGACAAAAATACACCTTCTGACATTGAGGAACTGACAAAAAGGACATTGAGCCACAGGTGATCACTAAGGATTCAGCCTAATTGCAAAGGATATGCATAACAATGTTATATGTGGTAGCTGACTGCTCAGGAAATTCAGTTACTCTGCAGAGTAATCTGGGTCTCTGGGTGGTGTATCAATAAATACCTGCTTGAGATCTTCAGCAAGCCAAGCTAGAGACTAAGGATTTGTAATGATACCAGCAGGATATAGACTCTCAAAAAGGCCTTCACACAGCAGCCTGATAAATTTATTGTCTGAATTTCCAAAAAGGATTTTAGAGCTTTGCCTCATCTGAGTTTGCATTGTTGTAAGAATTTAAGTGTTCATATGGTTTGAAGAAATGGATTTGGAAATGAAGACAGGAATTGAATGCTGTGACTTTGTAGGGCAAAAAGAAGCAGAAAGCATACCTCTAATGATGGAGAACTCCTTGGATATTGCTTCAAAGTGGGCTCAGATGCACTTGCCAGGAAGTTTTCATCTCTTATCTCCATCACTTTCTGACATGGTATTCTTCATTTCTTACTTTTCCTCATTCACCCCTGATTCCTGTTCTCAAGCTTGTACCACTTTCCTTCCACTGCAGTTTTCCTTTGTTCTCCATGCTCCCTACAGTGCAAACACACGACGGAGTTACTGTGCTTGACAAATTACATGGCACCAGCTGTGCCACCACTGTGCATTCCTGGCTGACAGCAAATACAGAGGTAAACCTCTGCCACACGTGGGAGCACAGAGCCAGGGGCTGCCTCAGCACAGCTGGAATGAAGTCAGAACTCTGGAGTCCTGGGTTACCTGTGGCAGCCTCAGCTCACAGAGTGCAGTGTGGAAGTCAGCTTAGCCAAAAAAAGCTGTAGCTGTAGTAGCCTACATATAATAAGAGCTGCTGAACTGGCTGTAGCTATAGCACTCTTTAAGGTGGTGGCCTCAGGTGGCACAGACGGTGTAAGCATACTGGGGGAAGAGCCCTGCCTCCCAGGGAATGCTCCTTGTGCAGAAGGGTTGGGTATAATTGCAGAAATGTTTGAAATGTCCACGTGTACTGGTGTGGCCGTACAGTACCCCCATGCTGCAGAATTGGAGCTCCACACTCTTTAAGCCAATGCTAGCATTGCACACCCACCTTGGAGGGATGGGGCACCTCACTGGGCCAGCCTGGTGCCAGGGATGCTCAGCCCTGCCTGGCAGTGCTCTGCAGAACGGGGATCTGTGCAGACCTGCCCTGTGGAACACTGCATTGGCACAGTTATATTCCTCCTGGTCACCGAGCTGGCTTGCTCAGGTCTGATTTTAATATTTCACAGGACACTGCCCCGTGTCAGTGGGGAGATCCTCTCAGTGTGTTTATTCTCTCTGTCTCACTGTGAGATCCTCCCATTTTCAGCACAGGGGGATTTTTTCACAAACTATGAATGCCACAGTGTCTGAGAGGTTTGGGATGAATTCTCTGCAAGTCCATACCTCCTCTGACATACAGAGTAAGCCTACAGAGCCTGCTTTAGGCAGCTGCAATCTAGTGCCATATACAGGGCTGTAAGTAATTTGCTGTGATTTTGCATCCTCTTCTTGAAGATTTTATTCTGGACTTCTAGTGCAATGAGAGACATAAACTCATGCACATCCAGTCTACTCTCTGTTTCAGTGGTTCACTTGGAAGGCAGCTCCTTCAAGAGTACTGACAACGATATTTTTTCAGCTGTGGATTTTTCTTAAAGCAAAAAAAAAAGAAAAAGAAAGAGAAACAAGGCAAATCTTCTTTCAGGATTTTTCATTGTTGTCTCCCAGGGTGAGCAGGACAGCTCCAGGACTCTTGTTTTCTCCTTGTTTTGAAGTGATTAAAGTGGAGTGGCAGTGTGTTTCCAGAGGACTGGAGAATATTATGAAGATTGTGCTTGCAAGGGACTGTCAGTGTCACATTAAGGTGAGTCTGTGACACAATGAATGTGTCATGCACTGCATGGGACAGAGGGCCTTACTTTTACTTTAGTTCAAGTTGCTAGCCCACTGAGGAAACTAGATGTGTGTTCGTGAAATGGAGCTTCTGAATTGCTCTTGAAAATGGCCCCAAACTATTGCCAATCCCATTTTCAGATGCAGCCATTCCCAGCTTCTCC